TATGGCTGGCTAAAGGACTCATAAGATAATTATCCATTTAAAATTTGTATTGTTACAATTATTGAAGAATGAATGTGGTGTTTAGTTCTAGGTTATGATGCATTGTGAATGTCCAGAAATACGTATACAAACAAAATAAAGGGCATTTTAAGATACAGGTTTTTACAAAGAACTCAAAATCAGCCTACTACAGTGATGCAGCCACATCACGTTTATAGCAATTCAATTCACAAAAGCTAAGCTATGAAACCAACCTAGGTGCCCTTCAATAGATGAATAGATAAAGAAAATGTGTTATACATACACAATGGAATATTATTCAGCCATAAAGAAGAATAAAATTATGGCATTTGCCAGTAAATGGAACTGGAAAATATGCCAAGTGAAATAAGACAATCCCAAAAAACCAAAGGCCAAATGTTCTGATATGCAGATGCTAACACAAAATAAGGGCGGGGTTGGGGAGTAGAAGTTCATAGATTAGACAAAGGGAAATGAGGGAAGGGAAAGAGGATGGGAATAGGAAAGACAATAGAATGAATTGGACATTCCCATGTTCATTATGAATATACAACCAATATACATGTACAACCACAAGAATAGGAATTCATACTTCATGTATACATAATATGTCAAAATACACTCTACTGTCATGTGTATCTAAAAAGAACAAATTAAAAAAAAGTGAATGGGAATTTAAACCTAAAAAAATAAAAAACTGGATACAGGTTTTTGGTTTTTTGTCTTCCTTCCTTCCTTCTTTTTTTTTTTTTTTTTCCTTTTTGGTGCTAGGAATCAAACCCAGGATCTCACACAAGCTAAGTACATGATCTATTACTGAACTATACCTCCAGATTCTAAACATACTTCTTTTGCAGTGTTGGGGATGGAATCCAGAGCCTTGTGCATGCTAGGCAAGTGTGTTACCACTGAGCTACACTCCAACCTTCTGTTTTAGTTTTTTTAAAATATATTTTTAGTTGTTAATGGACCTTTGATTTCTTTATATGCAGTGTTGAGAATTGAACCCAGTGTCTCACACATGCTAGGCAAGCGCTCTACCACTGAGTCACAACCCCAGCCCTGTTTTATAGTTTTTTAAAAACAGAACAGGGAGGAAGAGCATGAGAAGAAGATTACCATTAAACAAGGATGAGAGGTGGGAGGGAAAGGGAGAGAGAAGGGGAATTGCATGGAAATGGAAGGAGACCCTCATTGTTATACAAAATTACATATAAGAGGATGTGAGGGGAAAGGGGAAAAAAAACAAGAGAGAGAAATGAATTACAGTAGATGGGGTAGAGAGAGAAAATGGGAGGGGAGGAGAGGGGAGGGGAGGGGGGATAGGAAGGGGATAGGAAAGGCAGCAAAATACAACAGACACTAGTATGGCAGTATGTATAAACGTGGATGTGTAACCAATGTGATTCTGCAATCTGTTCACGTGATAAAAATGGGAGTTTATAACCCACTTGAATCAAATGTATGAAATATGATATGTCAAGAGCATTGTAATGTTTTGAACAACCAATTAAAAAAACTCATTTTTTTTCTCTTAGGACTTATACCTTATCCTGTGGCAGAGATAATTACATGAACTCATTGGTGTGGTAGAACTGTTCCTACCAGCTTGCCAGGTCAATTGTGTACATTTCTTCCCAATTCCTTCTTCAGAAACTGTAGGTCAGTAGCTTGAAATGATCATGGTGGGAGCATTTACACCATAGAAACCAGCAAATGCTAGTATCAGGGCTTCCCACCCTGCCCTCCAGAGCCAGGAGTTAAGCATTCACTAGCACACTCTCCTCCTATATACAGTCTTCCATTTTTCCATAAGTTTTTCTCATTGACAGGTTAGAGGCATTATTAGAACCAGGGTAGGTGCATTATTAGTATAAGTGGAAGTAACAGGAACAACTCTGCGCTGGAATGTACTATGATGGAGTTGGACTTGAGTCTGTGACAAAGAAGCTGAATGCTGGGAATAGAAGAGCTCACAAGACAGGAAGAGCCCAAAAGTCTGCCAAATCACAGAATCATCATATCAACACTGAACTGCTTATATTTAGAAAATTTTATGATAATTTAGGTCACTGTTATTTTAGTTATTAAAGCAGGTAGATACCTAGTAAACATATGTTCCATTTACCATGTGCACATTGCAAATTGTTTTTAAAAAGTTTTCTAAGTGGTTAATTCTAGAAATACCCAGAGTAAGTCTGGTCTAGAATTTGTGGGGTAAATGATATCTTCTATTATATACAGATACATCTCTTAAAAACACCAAAGGTGGGCTGGGGATGTGCTCAGTGGTAGAGCAGCTGTCTGATATGTGCTAGGCACTGGGTTTGATCCCCAGCAACATAAACAAACAAACAAAAAACCCTAGCAATGGTATTAAATTATGTATTATACTATATTTTAGACCTTTTCCCATATTTAGTCATGACTACCCTCCACCCCGTTTTGGTACCGAGGATTGAACTCAGGGGCACTCAACCATTGAGCCACATCCCCAGCCCTATTTTGTATTTTATTTAGAGAGAGGGTCTCACTGAGTTGCTTAGCACCTCACTGTTGCTGAGGCTGGTTTTGAACTCCTGATCCTCCTGCCTCAGCCTCACAAGCTAATGGGATGAGCAGCGGGATTACAGAAATGCTGGGATTACAGGCACACATTACAGTGCCTGGCAACAGGTTTGCTTTTATTATGCATCTAATTAAGCATGCATCCGTAAGGAGATAGAAAATTATCTAGAAATGGAATTGTTGGATCAAAAAAGTATGTGAAATAAAATTGACCTTCAATAAATTTACATTAATTTATGTTCCTATATTTCAAGTTTCTCTTCCCTCTGAATAGAGTGAATACTATATTAAATTTAGTCTTTGATACAATCTGCTGGGTGAAAAAATGAAATCTGTCTTGATTTCTATTTTATTTTGGTACTGGGGTTTGAACCCAGGGGCAGTTAAACAGGGAGCTATATCCCCAACCTTTTTATTTATTTATTTATTTTTTTGAGACAGGGCCTTGTTAAATTGCTCAGGGCTTTGCTAAATTGCTAAGGCTGATTTTGAATTTGCAATCTTCCTGCCTCCGAATCCTGAGCCAGATTACAGGCATGTGCCACCACACCTGGCATGATTCTGTGTCTCATGAAAGATCCTACACATTCTATAAGGCTATTCGTATTTCTTCAGAGAGCTGCATATTTCTATCCAATGCCTGTGTACATCCTTGGTCACTTGCTAAGCGCTCTCCTTTAAAAACCTAATTTGTATACATTATTACTTATAAAATATAAATAGAGGAATTTAGTCCTTTGTAATAGGTATTATAATTTTCTCCTCTGAGTTTCTTTGGCTCATTTTATAGTTTTGCATTTATAGGCATTTTAAGTTTTGGCATGGTCAATGGGTTCCTTTGTAGTCTTTTCCACTTTAAGATTACAAAAGATACTCACATGTGTTTTATTATACAGCTTTCATAGGTTTATTAACAAAAGTAAAACAAAAAACCCTCTAATTTCTTCAATTCACTCTGGGAAAACCAATTCGGAATATTGTGGGTGCGTGCCCTCCCCCACGGCTCTACCGGCTCCCCCTCCCTCTCCGCGTGACTCCTTTTTCCCCCCATGACCCCCTCATGCCCCTGCTGCGCACCTATCCCTTTATCCATCTTCCTCCCCACCCCCACTCCCAACCCCATGGTGCTAATACTAGTCAAAGAAACAAGGCATGAACAAAAGGAATGAAGGTTAGGGCACACAGCTGCATAGATTCCATGACTCTACAGGTGGTCTCCTATTTCTTGCCAGGCATGCAGCCTAGTACAGTATCACCCCTCTAGATTCTGAATTTGTCTACGATAGCTTAAGTGACAATGGGGATGGTGGAACAAATTTCTTTCTAACCTTCTCATCCATTAATGATTTGTCTATAAGCACACACGAAAACTGTTACAACTTTGTCCAGAGCAGGTTTCTTAACACTGGTACTGCAGGGATTTCAGCAGGATAATTCTTTGTCGTGGGGGATTGTCCTATGCACTATAGGACATTTAGCAGTACTCTTTCCCTATACCCATCAGATACCAGTAGCACCCTTCACTTTTCCTACATTTCCTAGACACTGTATTTATACAGACAAGCTTTATTTCCCTTCTTTTAGAACAGCTATTTTATTTTTGCTTTTTTCTGTTACACAGGATGTATATATAACGTATTGAAAATCAATATGCAAACAATATATTCTCTATCTGAGCACTACTCTAACAAGCAAAGAAATCACATTGGATGATAACATCTGGTAATATATTTTGGAAAATAAAATTGACCAAAATAGGCTCAAACTGACTAATACTATCAAATCATCTAATGTTCAATGCCATTCAATTCAATGCAGCTTAGTTATGCAAAATGTATTAACATCAAAGAATACAACCAAAATTAAGACAGCAAATAAAAGTTACTTTTCTTCAGCAGGAAAATACCTAAGTATGTAAATGTTCATTCTTTTAAAGAAAACCTCTGCAGTCAAACTTATTCACCTCCAAAAAAAAAAAAAAAAAATCAAAACAGTATTCCCAAACATATTTCTAAGAGTATAAAGATGAACATTTGGAAAATAAAAATTTAAAATATAGGCAATAAGTGAACTTCATATTTTTAAGAATAACAAAAGTCTCTAACTCAGCTTGTACAAACTGTCCTTTGATGTCAGGCTCATCAATCATTCTCCTGTAGGGAAAAAACTTCACAGAAATATCATTACAGAACAAGGCAGTAAGTGCATTTTAGCAATATTATGGTACATAAAATTTGCTTTTTCAGAAATATTATAACTTTTACTATTCTATCAAAACATGACCTTGCATATTCAGGATACGTTTTCCTTTTTTCTTGGAAAACACCTTTTTTTCCTCAAACAACAAAGGGCAGACATACTCTCAACCATACCAGTGGAAGATACTTCCTGAATTGGGGAAGGATCTTTTTTCACTGGCTTGACTTGTTCTTGGCATGCGTTAAGATATGCGACTTCAGGTTAGTTGATTGAGCGAACTTCTTATTACAGCCATCAAAAGGGCACACGTAGGGCCTGTCTCCGGTGTGGATTCGTACATGGGTGCGCAAGTTGAAATCCAGAGAAAACCGCTTTCCGCAGCCTTCAAAGGTGCACTGAAAGGGCTTCTCTCCAGTGTGAACCAACTGATGTCGCTTTAATTTGGAGCTCTCAACGAAAGCTTTGCCGCATTCTGCACATACGTGGACTCGGGGACCGTGGGTGTGCAGATGTTTTCTCATAGCAGAATTATCCCTGAACATCTTCACGCAGCCTTTATGAGGGCAAGCGATGTTTCTTGGGCCATCTTCTTTGGGTTTTTTTGGCTTCATTCTGGTAAATTCTGCCACCTGCTTGGGATCAGAGAGGTCAATACCTGGTATTCCTTCGGGAGGAAGTTTCTTCCCTGTCATGTACTCAGAATAATCAGGAGGTGAGTTTTCAGTCTGTCCTTGAACCTCTGTCCCCTGGTTTCCTTTGTCAACTGAGGACCACATAGTGACAGAGAACTCTCCCTCCAGGGTTTTAATCTGCACCTGCTTCTGTTCCCACTTCTTACTGCCCAGTTCAGAGCTGCCCTTTCCTACCTTGGCCTCACTGCTGGCATTCTTGCTGCTGTGCTTGCCACTCCGGCTGGTGTGCTTCCCATCACTGTGACCACAGGCTGAGGACTTGGTGGAGCCAGAAAGAGATGCTAGGGTCTGCTGGAAACTGACATCTTCACTGCCGACTGGGTCAACCACTTCGCCCTCGAGCTCATTGTTGGCTGGCAGGTTGTCTGCATCACAGTAACCCACCACCTCCTCTTGTGTCTGCACCATGATCATTTCCTGATCGTGGTCTCCGTGGCTGGTAGTGGGAGTGACCAGAGGCTGAAGTGCAATTAGCGGTGGGTGGTTGTGGCCACCGTGGACCCAATCACCGCTAATATCCTCGTACACTTCAATGGTTTGCACGGCCATAGTCTCCAAAGGAACCGTTTCCACATTAATCTGGTGCAGTTCTACAACATCTATAGGCATCTCCAAATTTTCTGTGGTAATGTAGATAACGCTGTCTGAGGACATGGCAGAGACTTTGCAGTGGTCTCGGCTACTCCGCAGCTGGTACAGGCCAGGAGATGGCGGAGAACCACGGAGAACGCAGGTTCAGGTACAAAAGCACGAACTGCAGAGGAAGGCACGAGCTTGGAAAAAGCTCGTGTGCTTGAAGAAAGCGTGGGCTCTAAGGCAAATTACAGGCGGTTGAGTCAGAAGACGCTCGTTCTTCTGGGAACACCAAGCGCATGCGCCTGGGCACCACACGCAGGCACTTCCGGCCACTGAGCAATCGCGTGCCCACGTCTATACCCACGTCTATGCCCACGTGCTCCTCTATACCCACGTGCTTGTGCTCGCGTGTTCGCATTGAACTTCCGGCTTTCTTGCCCCGCTACTGTTGTTTGAACGTTAATTTTGCTGTCCAGATCCTTACTGAATTTTTTTGCATTTCATTTCAGTTGATTTTGTAACCCCCCTAACCAGGCTTATAATTAAGTATCTGGGGAAAAAAGAAAAGCCACTCATTTTTAATATTTAAGCTTCTTTATTTCCTCTAATTTAATTGCACTGATCCACATTTACAGGTCAACATTTAATAGTATCAGCAATAGTTGATAGTGGGATTCGTTGTCTTGTCCTTTAATAGAAATGCTTCTAAATGTTAAACCAGTATGAAATATACAGTTATTCCTACTTTTAGTATTTTACAAATTATAAACAGATTTTGAATTTTGTTAAACACTGTCAGTATCTTCTGAGATGAGGAAAGTTTTTCCCCTAATGGTGAAAAATATTTACTACAGTCAAATAGATTTCCTAATGATGAGCCATCCTTGCATTCTTGAGATAGGCCATATGCTTATAAATTTTCTATGCTATACACGAAAGATATACCATTGGTATATTGACTTTAAAAAAAGTTTCAGTTTTGCTGGGGCAGTGGCGCAAGCCTGTTATTCCAGCAACTTGGAAGAGGGAGGCAGGAGGAAAACAAGTTCAAGGCTAGCCTCAGCAACTTAGTGAGACCCTGTCTCAAAACAAAAAATAAAATGGGCTGGGGATACGGCTCAGTGGTTAAGTGCCTCTGAGTTCAATCCCTGGTCCAAAGAAAAAAGAAAAAGAAAAGAAAATCTATACATTCAAGATTTGAAAGAGCCCGGAGTGGTGGTGCATGCCTATAATCCCAGTGACTGGGGAGGCTAAGGCAGGAGGATCACACGTTCAAAGCCAGCCTCAGCAACTTAGCATGGGCCTAAGAAAATTAATGAGACCCTGTCTCTAAATAAAATACTAAAAAGGGCTGCAGAGGTTAAGCAACCCTGGGTTCAATCCATGGTAATACAAAAAATTAAAGAATTCTACCTGTGAATTTTATAGGGGCATTCTTCATCAACTTTGTTTTAATTTTCTCTGCATTAGCTGTCAATTCCCACACTAACTAATTCTGTCTATAGATGCTTCCTCCCATCATTTAATCTTTTTTTCCTTCAACTAACTCTTAGATTTAACAGTTCTAATTTTATTTTTTCCATTGTTTTCTGCCTCTATTCGTTTTCAAAAATTGTTTTGTAGTTGTAGATGGATAGGCTTTTATTTTATTTGCTTATTTTTATGCTAAGGATAGAACCCAGTGCCTCATATGTGTAGGCAAGCATTCAGCCACTGGGCTACAGCCCCATACCCTATATTCTTATTACTTCTTCATTCTAAAAACGATTTTATAGCTCTTTTCCTACTCTTCATTTTTTTTTTCCTTTTTTTTGGTACTAAGGATTGAACTCATGGCTTTAGCCATGCTAGGCAAGTGCTCTACCACCAAGCTATACCCCAGCTCTTCATACTCAAGTTGAATATTTAACTTATTTATTTCCATTTCTAATTGCATAATAATCACCTAAGATAGTGAATTTTCCTTATGGCAAACTTTTAGCAAAACTTCACAACTTATTCTGGTAAAATGATTTAATTATCATCATTTTTATACTGCAATTCTGGTTTTAAGTTGATCCAACATGTGATTAAAACAAAATTCTAAATTTTAGGTGGTTTTACTTAAGTTCCTACTATTATTTTAGTAATTTATTGAAGACTTTTTTGTGAACTAATACATGGTCATTTTTTTTTAATTTCATGGGCACTTGAAAGTAAATTGTCTTCTGTGTTTATGTTATAGAATTTGATTTACCTATCTTACTAATTTGAGCTTCCAAAGCTTTTCTTTCTTATACTTATCATCATGTGTTGAAAGATGAATATCTTTATTACATTTGTTTCTCCTTGAGCCTTTTCCATTTTTTTTTTTGTTCTAAGGTTTGATGGTTTGTTACTTCATACAACAAGATTCATAACTATTGTTTATTTTATTTTTTAAATGTTTATTTTTTAGTTTTTGGTGGACACAATATCTTTTTTAAAGAGAGAGTGAGAGAGGAGAGAGAGAGAGAGAATTTTTAATATTTATTTTTTTTAGTTCTCGGCGGACACAACATCTTTGTTGGTATGTGGTGCTGAGGATCGAACCCGGGTCGCACGCATGCCGGGGGAGCGAGCCACCGCTTGAGCCACATCCCCAGCCCGACACAATATCTTTATTTTATTTTTATGTGGTGCTGAGGATCGAACCCAGTGCCTTACGCATGCCAGGTGAACACGCTACCACTTGAGCCACATCCCGAGCCCCTATTGTTTTATTTTTCTCTTTCTTTCTTTCTTTTCTTTTTTTCTCCCTTGTTGCATTGTGTATTGGACTCAAGGCTTCTGCATGCTAAGCCAATGCTATACCCTCAGCCCCACTATTATGTTTTCATATTATCTTATATTCTTCATTATTACAAAGTGATCCCTGTGCCTCACTTAATGCACTTTGGATACATCACATATAATGGAGTATAATTTCTCATTCTTCTGGCTGTCTGGCACTATTTATTTTGTGTGTGTGGTTCTGGGGATTAGAACCCAGAGGCCTTATGCATGCAAGGCAAACACTCTACCAACTGAGCAATATTCCCAGCTCTAGCACTCTCTTTTAATAGGAAAATTTATTTCATTTCTATATACTGACCAGATAAATGTATCTTTTAAAAGGTTGTTTTTTTGATTTTTTTTTGTGTTTTTTTTTTTTGGGGGGGGGGGTACTGGGGATTGAACTCAGGGGCACTTGACCACTGAGCCATATTCCTAGCCCTATTTTATATTTTATTTAGAGGCAGGGTCTCACTGAGTTGCTTAGTGCCTCACTTTTGCTGAGGCTGGCTTTGGAATCCTGCCTCAGTCTCCTGAGACACCCGACTTATTTATCTTTTGATGATATCAGTTTTGTTGACCTGTTTCATGCTTTCACTATTGTAATTTGAAAGTTTTATGTATATCTTTAGATCTTGTAGTGTTTACATTTAAGTGGTATAGTCAAGCCTCTATTTCTGATTTATCAACTTCAGGTAGACTCTCTTTCCACTATGATGAAGTTGAGAACATTAGTACTTAGACTTCCTGTTTTTACTTTCCTCACCTCCAATTTTTTTGGACAGTTGTATAGTCACAGTCTGTTCAAGGACTGCAAGTTCAAAGCCAGTCTCAGCACTAAGCAATTCAATGAGACCCTGTCTCTAAATAAAATACAAAATAGGGCTGTGGATGTAGCCCAGTGGTTGAGTGCCCCTGAGTTCGATCCCTGGTATCCCACTCCAAAAAAAAAAAAAAAAAAAAAAAAAAAAAGAATTATAATTACACTCTTGCTTAGCTTCAGTTATTCCTTTTAAAGAGATGCAGAATTGTGATGAATTTGTCATATACTAATTTAACTCAGATGGATCTATGTATCCCAGAATTTCTTCCTATGTAGCTGTATATCTCCAAGTGATTCTGTTTCTCTGAACTCTGACAATGCTAGAAGTCATTATCCATCCTGCCCATCCTTGAGTGCTATCTCTTCTCCATTTCTGAATTCCTTTATCTCTTGGTTGATTCTTCAAGTTCTCTTTTGATTTGAGCAAATTGCCCTGTATTTCAGCTGAAGTAACATTCTTCATAGTTTGCAGGCTCTGTTTTTCTTTTATTTTGTAGGGCTGGGGATCACAGGAACTAGTACATGCTAGGTAGGTGCTCTGCAACTGAGCTATATCCCCAGCCCTTGGTCATTTTTTGTGTCAGTAAAAACAAAGCTTTATTCTGTGTTTTGTTTTTTTAAATTTTAACCATTTGTGTTGTTTCAGTTGGTCTTAAAGAAATAATTATAAATTATTTTATTGTACTACTTTTAAGGGAGCCTTATAAGCTAAGTTTATTAACCAAAAGATGTAATTTTTGATGTCAGTACTTTCAATAAAACCACTAACCATAGAAAACTAAAACAAAAACCACAGATGAATGTTAAAAAAAAAAAAAAAAGAAAAAGTCTTCTGTTACCTGCACAAAATATCCTTAGCTGCTGAACTGGTGATATAAGTTGCAGATGGGTAGTGAACAGATCCACAAATGCTCCAGGATAAATTATGAAGAGAAAAATCCCAAAGCCATTAAACCGAACTTGTTCCCTAAGAAATCACAAGAGAAAAAGGAATTTACTAATACTATTGCATTTGTCAGAGTAATAATTTATGTAATTTTAAAAAATCACTCTAATTTCAAATTTTGATTTGAAAACCAAGTCCCTGGAATCTAAAAAACTGTGTTGATACAATATATAATCATGATTTTAGAATAGTGTAGTATATATTTGGCTGTCTAAGAAATTAAGAATTACATAAGACAGATAGCATTCTGATATAGACTAACTACTTCATTATGCTGAATAATAATTGAAATTAGACATATACATAAACAGATGGTTATTGCTGAGAAATTAAATGATAATAATTTTTATGGTTTCCTATGAACTATTTTTAGAGAAAGACACAGAAGAATATATAATTCAAGTAAATTATCAAATAATTCTAATTATCTTAGCAATTACAAATAGCAGGGGAGATTTATTCCTATTGAGGTAATGTTAAATATTTTTGAAAATATATAATGCTCAGATTGTCCTT